GCCTATGAAGTGGGTATTATACGAGATCGTATCAGTTTGGGTCTTGACACTGGTCCAGTTGTCAGTCAACTGAAACGCATTGAATCGAATCTATCTTCGATATCAAACGCAGACGATGCGGACGATTCGGGATCGAATTTGGATGAAGAACAAAGAGGAATGATGGATAAAGAAGATGCCAAGTATATGCGATACTTACGTTCACTTGATCCAAGTGATTGCAAAAGTCAAGACCATTATAAGGTGTTGGGTTTGTCGAAGCTGCGATGGTCAGCCACTCCAGCACTGATCAAAAATGCATACCGGAAAAAGGTTTTGAAGCATCATCCGGACAAGCGTCAATCCAACCTAAACACCAGTCTCTCTAAGCAGTCTCATGTTTCCAGTGAACAAGATCTGGAGCATGATTATTTTACGTGTATTACAAAAGCGTACGAGCAACTCGGAACAACCGAACAGAAGCGGCGCGCCTACGATTCCGTCGATCCGAAGTTTGATGACTCGATTCCGGACGAGAAGAAAGTCGATGCCGACAATTTCTTCACACAGTTTGCGCCGGTCTTCAAGCGTAATGCGAGGTGACTACATATCAAACTTTGATTTTTCACTTTATAAAAAATCAGTATTGTTTTATGAAAGAATGTGGAAGGTTAACAAATTCGAAAGCAAAGAATGAATAATAGTTTATGGGAATTGTTTTAATCATATGGAATGAATGAAGTTACGCACATCAGTTGTTTACTTCACTTATTTGCAACAACTCATTGAACAACCTTTTTAATTGCATTTTGTTTATAGCGTTTATTTTGATTTTCAACTTCAGATGGTCAATCCCTCAACCGGTACCTACATTAGGTGATTTGTGCAGTAGTCGTGACGAGGTGGAGAAATTTTACTCATTTTGGTTGAGTTGGGATTCGTGGCGTGAGTTCTCGTATTTGGACGAAGAAGACAAAGAGAAAGGTGAAGATCGTTGGGAGAGACGAGAAATTGAGAAGAATAATAAGGTTGCACGATGAATAGTCCCTCAAAATTTGTTCTCTTTTAAAACTCTCTCAGCTTTTGTAGCATATTTGATGGAAGTAAAATTTCATGAGAAGTATTCGCTGCCTCGTTGAGTGGAGGGAGCTAAGATTGTTGATTTGGGATGGTGTGAAAACGCATGAAGCTGATCAAGTCTGTGCTAATTCGTAATTTGAGTGCGTTAGATGATTGATTATTTCGCTGATTAGATTGAACGAGAAAGGCGACGGAAGGCTGAAGCAAAACGAATCCGTAATTTGGTCGAGATGGCCTATCGCAAAGATCCGCGAATCGCTAAATTCAAAGAGGAAGATCGAAAGCAAAAAGAAGACGAACGCTTGCAGCGGCAGAAAGTAATCGAAGAGCGTAAAGCAAAGGAGATGCAAGCTAAAATGGTGGGTGCTTATTCAAAAACGAAATGAATTTGTTTATCAGTGTCACCTCATTAATCTCTATGGACTAGAAAACATAAATGATGGGAGTTTTCTTGCGGATGCACTTGCTCATGTTTATTCGTTGACGATTGCCATCTGGGATTCGGTGATTTTCCAGTTTTAAGATTGTCATTCTGTGACTTTTCATTTGAAAATGAACTGATATCTTAGGAGGTTGAAGCTGAAGAGCGCAGAAAAGAGGAGGAACGTCAAGCGGAAGAACTGCGAAAGAGAGCCGAGGTTAAGAAATTACGAGAGCAAAAGAAAAAAGCGTTGAATGATGCTAGGAAAAAACTGCGAACGATTGTTGAGGTATTATGCTTTCTGTTAGTTCATTCGTTGTATGTGCCGTGAATTGTTGAGAGTGTTTTCATGAACTGAAATTGAGCGAAGAAGAAAATGTTGGATAGCATCGAGTTTTATTTCGTCGATATTCTGTGCGATTTTGTGAACAGAATTAAGAATTATTAACAGTGATGGATGGCATATACAGTTTTGTAATTTTTCACAATATCTTTTTATTAAATGACTGCTCTTCGTGAAGCGCTGAATATTTTAGACAGCCGGATATTGGAGTGCATCGGGCGGTGCGCAGTTGCGCTGTATGGAGGCAATCGAGAGGGCATATCTGCGATCCGATATTGACAACTTGAACGAGATTATTGCGCAGATTGAGAAATGTACATCATTTGATGCAGCTATGCAAATTTTTGATGCTGAAGAGGTATGCGATTTATGTTTCTCATTTACGAATTATGGACTTTAGTTGTGATATCATATTAATTTAGTCATCGATTTTCAATGTTTTTCACTAATTTAAGGGCAATTTCATTTATAATTCGGGTGAAATTACTTTCTATTTTGATGATGGAATAAATTCATGTCATTGTAACCTTGCTGATGCTATAGCAACTCTTATATTCTTTTTATTTGTTTGTCATTTCTGATTTTTCTTATTAGAGAATTTATTTCTGTTAATTGAAATAAACTTTCCATAGAGCACGATTAGTTTTTGTTTCGTTACACACTTTTCGGTTCCTGCCTATGGATTTTCTACATAAATGGATTTTTGTATTCAAACATCTGAGTGATCAGATGATAAATTTAATATAGTATTGAATTATGAGAATTGTTCAGGAGAAGGCACTTCAAGAAGCTATGCGCAACACGGAATTGCGATCGGCGAATCAGTCGGAATCCGTCGACAGGACGGTAGTTGTTTGGACCGCTGATGAGACTGCGCTGGTGATAAAGGCAGCGAATTTGTATCCTGCGGGAAC